ACCATCTGCAAGATGTCCAAACCATTGGTACTGCAGAATATGTCCCTGTTTCTGCACTGAAACAGAATCTCTTGTCTCATCCTCTTAAAAGTAGTCTAAACCATTTCTGAATGTAATAAACACGATACAAATAAAAACAGCACCTGGCACTTCCCTGGGTAAATCAAAGAATTCAGCATACAGCATGATGGTGGTATTATCATGACACTGTTTCAGGCAAACAAAGCAGCGTAACTTGCAACCTGCCCAGAAAATAAATGGCAGGGTTGCCAAGAAATGGTTACTATTGCTAGCAACACAAATGACAGACAAATTGTTTTCTGTGAGCTCCTAGATTATGGTTGTTACAATATGAGTTTGATTTAATGTTATATTCATAGTTATTGAAATAAAGGGAATTTGATTCAGGGGACGGGTGGGAGAAAATGTTTCACTGTCTCAGAAGTGTCTGCCAGGCGAAGCTAGAAAATGAATTTTGCTAAGTATTTGTATGCTAACTCACACTGAAGTTCTTGCACCAAACTTCTTGACCTCCAGCTCCCAAATTTATGTCATATGCTTGCTCGTGGTTTTGAGGTCCGTTGCTACACTGATGACTTGGAAGGATAACTGACAACAGCAGTTCATTGCTGCGATTAACTATTTCAGTGCTATTCCCCGGTTCATGTGTTGCCTTATTCTGACAAAATAAACACATCTTTGGCAATAGCGGTCCACACTGTGCGGTGTGATAGATCATCCTCACAGTGTGTTTTTCAACGGTAAAGGAATATCATGATGTTATGTATTTAAGTATGTTTATAAGTTTAGAAGAATATTCCACTAGTCTTGTAGATGTCGAGGATAAGTCACACTGACATGGCTGGGATAAGCAGCCCTCTGAGGCTCGGTCACAACTAATCCTCTTTGTACATTAGATGGTTTTGTGTTTCCTTTGGGATACTCTGAGCTGTGTTTTGAGGTGTAGACTTTCTGCTTAGTGTAGCTATTTGTATACAAATGCATCCCCATATGTTTTTCAGCCATAATGGTGGTATGTGCTGTTGATAGATCTTGGCAGCTGAGTATACAGGTCATAGAATATGTATGTGTCAGACCTATCTGAAGAAATAACGCATGTGCAGGTGACAAAGAAGTGGATTTTGAACAAGAAAATTCAACCCACTAGTTAAATTTTTGCAAAATTGATATATTTGCAATATGTACCTACATATATATAATATACATGGGTATAGTGTATATATATGTATGGGTATGTATGAGGGCATAAAAAGAAGTATTTTCCCAAATCAGGCCTTTTAAGCACTTGCTGGTGGGGCAGGATTGTTTTCACTACTTTACAACACATGTCTCCTCCTGAGCTGGTTCACTTAAGCTCCCTTTATTGTCAATGGAGATTCAATGTAGTTAAGAGTGTATGGTGAGATTCACCTCATCTTAAAAATGCCACCTTAAACAGGCTGGATCAGTTTGGCACTAGAAATGCCTCTTTCTCTTAATTGACTAGAAAGGGAGTCTCCAGTGATGAGCTTAGCTGTGTCTAAAATTAGACAGGAGAATCCCAGCCATATTGCTGACTTTGCTGCAGATTGCTGGCTAAAATCTTACATATGCAGTACAAATTTTAGGTGTAATTTTCTGCCATACTGCCTGTTGAATAGTTATTTGTGCATGTGTAAAATGAGGCTAACTCACTACTGATTTTAAAGAGAAGTTTTAACTGCTTGGGTTCTCTTTTTACTAAAAAAAAATCCTCATTTGATGCATTCAATTCCTGTGAAAGGTGGAAGGCACTATACAGAAATGAGCCACTGGCTCGCTGTCATTTGGGACCTCAGCTATGAAATAAGTATTTAACAAGTAATTAGTATCGATTCCTGACCAGTGTCTTATGCTTTGCCAGTTCCTAGCCATCAGTGCTATGTTGGCAACGGCACGGAATACAGAGGTATGGCAAAGACGACCATTTCTGGACACAGCTGCTTGCCTTGGGATTCAGACTTGCTTTACCAAGAGCTTCATGTCGACAGTGTTGAGAAGGCAATACAGCTTGGCTTGGGGCCGTTCTCTTACTGCAGGTGAGAAAAGTTCAGGTTTTCCCTGTATTTGTAAATCAAGAGATGGATGTATTGTGGAAGGGAGAAGGGCCACAAATCTCGTAGCAGGTGTTATCCCTGTCTGGGTAAAGCTAGACTGACTTTTAACAGCCTGACACAAGGGATGTAAGTGTGCAGAAGACAAGATCTGGTAGACAGGCTAGATCAATAGCTGGGTCTGCCAAGAGAAGCTCAGACACAAAATAACACTGGAAATTCCAGGTCCTTTTTTTTTCCTGGGATTTTTTTTTTTTTAAATGAGACCATAGTCCAAAACTTTTGAAATTGTTCATAAATGACTACCTAAAAGGAGAAATACACTAGCCAAGTTGAAATGGTTAACTTTTGACTTCTTATTCTTAAATTGTGAAATATGTAACATAAAGGAAAATATTTTCAAAAGTGAAAAGTTATTTGAAAATGAAAAATCAAAGCACTATACTTCAAGAATGTTGAAATGGGATGTCAAATTTCTTTCCTGGATTTCTTCCAGAGCAAAATTATTGCAAAATAAAATTTCACTGTTTCAATTTTGAACATAGAATCATAGAATCGCTTAGGTT